AGAAAATAGAAATACGAGAACGGCATATCCTCTTATAAAGGTCTTGCACGATCTTCTATATTTTAAAGATATATAAACTGCATTCTTCAAATACAGTGGCACCGAATCCACAACGATCCCCACAAAAGGTGTAAATTTTGGTTAACGACTTTTTACATGAATTATACTATTTTACAACTAAAAAATATTTTTTTTTAATTATTGAATTTTAGTCAGTAATAATTGATTATGAATCCCTGAGATATATTAAATTTCAAATACTTTTAATGGACATTTTTCGTTAATTATACAAATCCTCAAAATATCGAAAAACATGGGCCACTTGGCATAAAAATTCGGTAGCCGATCAGGACCCAAATTGGCTTGAAAACTGACTATTTGATTGATTACTAATGGACATTTTAAATTTTTTTTTAGTATAAAAGACTTGCGTATTTTGGCATTCAATATCAATTTTAAATTGTCACTCAAAAACAAACCACAACCAAACCACCATCAAAATGTTCAAATTCGTAAGTTGACTTAAATTGAAATTATTATATATTGGAATGGACTAGTAATCCGCTTTTTAATTTTTTAGATCGCTGTTTGCTTCTTCGCTCTCTTGGCTTTGGCTGCTGCTAAACCCGGTGTTGTTGCTCCTTTGGCTTATACCGCTCCCGTGGCTTACTCTGCCCCATTGGCCTACTCTGCTCCATTGGCTTACCATGCTGCTCCCGCTGTCGTCGGTAGTGCTGCCTATGTTGCTCCCTATGCCTCCAGCTACAATGCCCACACCATTGCCCACTCTGCTGCCTTCCCTGCCGCTTATGCTGTAGCTCCCGCTGCTGTTGCTGCCCCAGTAGCCACCCCCTTCGCCGCTCCCCTTTTGTTGAAAAAGTAAATCAGAGAATGTGAATTTGAATGCAAATAAATCTGTGATGACAATGAAAACCTGAAACGAAAACAAATACTTGTGTATAAATTTTGAGAAAAAGAAATATCCTTAGTAGGAAATTTTGTATTTTATGGACATATATAATATGGGGCGATACATAAAGATATTTCGGCTTGCTTCTAAAATTGTATATCAAGTTGGCTTTAAAAAATAGAACTCTCAATGCGCACAAGCACTAATACCGGAAGAGTTGTAAAAATCACAGAAAATTAAATCTAATTAAAAATCAAACAGATAAAACTAGTATTGGGTTCGGCCTGGCCGAGCTTTTCCTACCCTCCATCAATCATAAGGTCTACATTCAAAATACGTCAATACGGTTGAGACTCCTTATACAGTATTTTTCGGTTAATTGACCCTACGTTTAATTGGTTTCCCCGCTTAATTGAACCATCATGGGGGCAACAAAATATTGCATACGAAAACACATGTAAATTTCCTCAAATAATTAATCCCTATTAATTAACTTTCCCGTTTAATTGGTTCAAAATTTATGTTATCAAAAATAAATTTCTTCTTATTTTTCACCGGTTATTTGCATTTTTGAGAATATGCGTAGAATAACTTTCTGAGTCGATTTATGCATGTCCGACCGTCTGTTGATTTTAAACTGTAAACAATGTACAGGTTGAATTTATAATGTGGTACACCAAATTTATTCGGCCCAAGCACGAACCCGAATCAAATTATATACAGAAAAACCCCATAATTCTTAACCCCGTAAAAATCCCATACATTTCGGTCGTAATTTTTTTTCCAACAAAATGACTAAATAACTGTTGTAATTCGTAATTTGTCTTCGTAAACCTCAATAATTTTTAAATTTAAAATGGTTTGTTTATCTCTTTCTCTTCATTCGTGCATTTTAAAGTAGCGGGCGCCGCATTCTTTGTAGGAAACCCCAGTTTCTTGTGCTCATCGTATGACATCAACGGTAAACCACTGACTGACTAGTTACAAAACGGCCGCACTACTAGGCGCTATCTATTCGCATAAGGAGATTATGAGAGAAAAGGCTAGAACGTTTGCCGCTAGATTGGGCTCACACAATTTCAAAGTCAGGGAAGAATGACTCGATCGCTTTAAGGAAAGGTACCACCTTAAGGAAAACAATATGTTTAAAGGGTGATACGTGCCATGGTGAATTACGAATTATTTTTTTTGTCACAATGAATTGATTTTAAAATGTTTTTTTTTGACAAATAAGAAATATATGTACATATATACCTAAATAGGTATGTATACTCACGATTGAATAAAAACCTCGTTAATTCGTATTTTTCTTTCTTACTCTCGCTAATTCGAAAACCTCGTTAATTCGTATTAAACCGTCGGTCCCTTGATATTACGAATTATCGGGAAGTCCCTATATATTTTCGATTGTGACTAGGATATTGTTTGCTAAATTTTGTGAAAATTGGTTCAGATTTAAATATAGCTCCAATATATATTTTCGTCCGATTTTAGGTAAATGGTGCACCAAAGCCCCTATATATTTTTTCGATTTGCACGAAATTTTACATAGCGTACTGAATTAAGTCTAGCATGATGTGTGCTAAATTTCGTGAAAATCTGTTTAGATTTAGATATATCTCACATATATTTTTTCTGCCGATTTAATATAAATGGTTCACCGCAGTCCCTACATATCTTTCAATTTGGAATAGCGTACTGAATTGTGTCTAGAACGACGTGTGCTGAGTTTCGTGGAAATCTGTTCAGATTTAGATATAGCCTCCATATATATTTTCTAAATTTAGTTTAGAATGATTTTAGCTATGTTTCGCGAAAATCCTTGACAATAATATTAGAAATTAATTTCGCCCAATTATGCGTGATTTCTGTAAATGAACAAACAGTTCAATTAAGCGGGTATCGGATAATTGGTTCCTCGGTTAATTGAACAAAAAATTGTGCAAATTTTGATGTGAAATTAACCGAAAAATACTGTACATGTATATATATGTAAATATGGACTGACTCTGCAAATTTTCTACCTTGAGGATCTTTAGCCCACTTACGTACTTACATATAGTTACTCTGAATAGAAAACACGTCCAGTAGCTTCAATTCACGGAAATCCTTTGCAACCTTTATAATCACCCTAAAAATACGAGGAAGACGTTTTATGACCATCAAAATACCGAAAATTGAGCGGAGCCTACATATGGATAACCAGTAAAATTACAGCAACTTTAGTTGGACTTTTACTTTTAAAGCCTTAAATATATTTTAAAAATTGTACGTGCCCTTTGTACGGAAACTTAAACGTGAACAGATATATCTCATCAAATATCCTACACGTAGTTGCAAGGTATGTGAAATTTTACAAAGCTCTATCTTAAATTAAAAGAGACAAATAGACGGCATTGAATTGAGTGACCTTAACTATAGGTTTGCAATATTGGCGAGTCCAAATTTGGATATAACTTTGTCGGATCAGTATGAAATTGTTAGGAGGCTACCTACCAGTCGGGAAAACCATTTGTCATATTTGTTATTAGTTTGATAAGGCTCTCACACGGCTCTCACACAATTACTTAAGATATCAATTGCTAAGAACATGTCTTGAATTTAGTCAAATTATTGTATGGTATTATATAGTCGTCACCATGTCTTAAGGTTCATTCCTTATAGACTTATTTTTCGTTCTATAAATATCTGTGTTTTGAATGGTTATTTTCTAAATAATATATTATATATTCTGATAGTATCACTACATTGGAGCTTTAAATTTGTGTGTTATATATTTACGTATATTTCTTGGAGGATCTCTTCAACCACTTTTGAGTACGTAACTTCCAAATAACAGTCGAAATCTTCTATTATGACACCGATGTTGGCGACATATAGGTAACGAGGTTTCCCAGAAGTCCCGAAAAAAGTTTCGCCTTTTTTGAGAAGTCCCGAAAACAAGTTCCGCCTTTTATGTGATATCGCTTGCAACAAGTATTGCTTATAGCGAACAATTTCAACGGTCCCTCGACCGTAGTTATAAACGATTTCGACTGTACTCTTACTTCTGGGGAAATTTTGACTAAATCCCTCCATTTCATATAAAACAAGTATAAACCTTCTTTACTTTTTGTACACCTCACCCATGTGGCGGAACTTCAAAAATACCTAAAATATGTAAAATCATTATTTTATCTTCTGATAGGTTGGGAACCTTATGACAAGACATCAACCCACATAGAAAATTAGTCAGTTGGTTTTTATCCTTTCAGAAAGCGTAATACCAAACTACGGACAGTTTGGATGTAAAATGTGGCAAATACCTTCGAAGTACTTAACATGGTTTAAAACAATAACCTTTATAGAAAATATTTCGCCAAGGCGTATTTTATCCCCCGGAAATCTAAAATTTCTAATTGTAGTCATGTAGGATTGCCAGATTCCTTTAATGGGACAAGGTAATAAAAAAAAACGTTTTTAAAAAAATTTAATTTAAGGCTAAAAATTTTAAATTAAGAACGCGTATATGGAAGCAATGGAAGAATCAGAACCAATCCCCATTTTTTTCAATTGTATAATTGTAAGAAATATATCCACTAAGAGAATAGTTCCAACTACATAATCTCAAGTAACTAATGTACAAGAACAACTATGTTGTAAATCAAAATTTAAAACAATAAAATTTTCTTTTCAGTTAACTTTTCCATTGTCATCACAGTTTGGGTTATTTTTTTTATTCAAAATTCACATTCTCTGATTTACTTTTTCAACAAAAGGGGAGCGGCAAAGGGAGTGGCTACTGGGGCAGCAACAGCGGCGGGAGCTACAGCATAAGCGGCAGGGAAGGCAGCAGAGTGGGCAATGGTGTGGGCATTGTAGCTGGAGGCATAGGGAGCAACATAGGCAGCGCTACCAACAACAGCTGCAGCGGGAGCGGTATAGGCCAAAGGAGCGGAGTAGGCCAAAGGAGCAGAGTAAGCCACAGGGGCGGTATAAGCCAAAGGAGCAACAACACCGGGCTTAGCAGCAGCCAAAGCCAAGAGAGCGAAGAAGCAAACAGCGATCTAAAAAAAATGGAGAAGAATTTACAGTTAAAAATCCATTCTGAGGTATAGTAATTTCGATATAATTCAACTTACGAATTTGAACATTTTGTTGGTGGTTTGGTTGTGTTTTGTTTTTGAGTGACAATTTAAAACTGATAATGAATGCCAAACTAAGCAGGTCTTTTATACTAAATGCTTAAAATGTCCGTTGGCCAATAAATATGCAAAACACAGTGCACACCATTTACATTGCCAATATACATAAAAGTGTGTGTGTAGGTATGTATGTTTGCGTAGAAGGTTCTTCTTCTTCTTCTTTGTTATGTGGAGGTAATATAATTTATTATACCAAGCGTACCGGTTGCCAATTCCATTTAAATGGTTGTTATTTCAAGTTTAACTTTTGATTATTAAAACGAAATAAAATATAGATGAACACATACACATACTTGCATAACATGCAATAACATCGATGGGTACCATCATTCAGTTAATGAAATATTTTGAAGAACTATTACGCTTTGAGAAAATCGTAGACTCGTTTAATATTTAAGAGCTTTATGATTTTTCAAAACTTTGAATTTTATAGCCGATTTTTGCACCAACACGATATTAGAAAAAAACCAGTAAGAAAAGTAGTAAAGTCGGACTGGGCCGACTATATGATACCCTTCACCACTTTGGATATATTCAACATATGTATCCTAACAGACGTCGTCGGAATACAAATTTCAGTACGTTGTGTCAATCAATTTACATTAAATAGGACTAAAATATATATGGGAGCTCTAACTAAATCCGAACCGATTTTCACGATACTTATAACACTTCACTCTTGACCTAATTCACTACCCTATGCCAAATTTCGTGCAAATCGATAGATATATAAAGACTTTGGTCCACCATTTACATAAAATCGGACGAAACTATATATGGGAGCATAATCTCAACCTGAACCGATTTTCACGAAACTTATAACACTTCATTCTTGACCTAATTCATTACCCTATGCAAAATTTCGTTCAAATCGAAAGTTATATAGGGACTTCGGGGCACCATTTACATAAAATCGGACGAAACTATATATGGGAGCTATATCTAAATATGTACCGATTTGCACGGAACTCATCACACGTCATTCTATACTTAATTTAGTACGCTATGCCAAAATTCGGGCAAATCTAATGATTTTCAGGGACTTAGGTACACCATTTAGTTAAAATCGGACGCAACTATATATGGGAGCTATATCTAAATCTGAACCGATTTTCACGAAACTTAACACACATCATTCTAGACTTAATTCAGTACGCTATACCAAAATTCGTGCAAATCAAAATATTTGCAGGGACTTTGGGGGAACATTTACCTAAAATCGGGCGAAACTATATATGGGAGCAATATCTACATCTGAACCGATTTGCATGAAATTTAGCACACACCATTGTCGACTTAATTTAGTGATTTTCAGAGACTTTGGTACCTTATTTACCTAAAATCGGCGGAACTATATATGGCAGCTATATCTAAATCTGAACCGATTTTCCCGAAATTTAGCACACATCATTGTCGACTTAATTTAGTACGCTATGCCAAAATTCGTGCAAATCTAATGATTTTCAGGGACTTTGGTTCACCATTTTCCTAAAATCGGACGAAAACATATATGGGAGCTATATCTAAATCTGAACCAATTTTCTCCAATTTCAATAGGGCTCGTCCTTGGGCCAAACCAATGGGCTGTGGCAAATTTCATCCAACTCGGATCATAAATGCGATCTGTACTTTGCTCACAAAAATACATGGACGGTCGGACAGACGGACGGACGGACAGATGGACATGCATAAATCGACTCAGAAAATGATTCTATGCATATTCTCAAAAGTAACCATGTGTCTATCTCGATTCCTCTTGCCTGTTACAAACATATGCACAAAGAAGGGTATAAAAACATAAAAGTGTACCGAGTTAGGATGAACCCTTTTAAGTTTTTACAAGAAAAACGTGTATAAAGGCGTAATACTGACAGTTACTTCCATTAAAGTTTTAAACCCGTATCGGGCGAACCACCGCACGTTTGCACTCTCGCGAGAGTAAATATCACTATTCTCTCACACACATTCAACTGAAACAATTGAAAAACCATTGACACACACACAAAGCCATATGAATGAGAACAGAATTTTTTACGTTCTGCCCGTGCCTTTTTTAAAACCCACATACAGCAATACTACCCCGCATTGAGAAAACAGTGAACTGATATTGAAAGTTTAGTGTAGGAAGATTCTGAGAACTCAAAAAGTCCGATCATAGTCAATTTGGTTTGAAAACGTGTCCAATATTATCAAATATGAGAGCTTTGCACATATGTGGATCAATAGAACCCAATCTGAATATTTATATAGGTTTAATTAAAATATTACGATGCGCTATAGAATTCATATAAAATTTATAAATTCAAAAAAAGGCGTGGACTTGGTCTAGGACTGGCAGAAATATTAAAATGTGTAAAAGTAGGTTCAGGGGGAGGTATTACAAAAAGTGGACTGATATTCCCCCCATTACCACACTTTGGTACAAATGTTTGTAACATGCAACAGGAAACTAGATAGACCCATAGTTACTTTTGAGAATATGTATAGAATCACTTTCTGAGTCGATTTATGCATGTCCGTCCTTCTGTCTATGTTAAATTGTAAACAAAGTACAGGAAGCATTTATGATCCGAATTCGATGAAATTTGCTACAGCTCATTTATTTTGCCTAAGGACAAACCCTATTGAAATTGCGAAAAATCGGTCAGATTTAGATATAGCACCCACATATCGATCATTTTCTGCAAGACAGGCAACTGCCTGTACATGATATATTTAGATCAAGGTACAGGTCGCATTTATGATCCGAATGAGATGAAATTTGCCACAGCAAACTTATTGGGCCCAAGAGCGAACCCTATTAAAATTGCAGAGAAATCGGATCATACTTAGATACGGCTACCATATATAGTTTCGTCCGGTTTGATATAAATGGCACACCAAAGCCTCTAAATATCTTTCGATTTACACGAAATTGTGTATAGCTTATTTAATGACATATAGAATGATGTTTGCTAAGTTTCGTTGAAATCGGTTCAGATTTAGATATAGCTCTTGTATATTTGTTCGTCCGATTTTATATAAATGGTGCAATAAATTCCCTTGGTTCATCCAATTTAGACGAATACTGGAATACCATACCTTCAAATCGAACCAGATATCTATATGTTGGCTTCATAATAATTCTGTTAAATTTCATAAAAATGATACACCAATACTCAACGGCTGCCCAATTAGTCTTAGTCTACATATAGATCAAAATGATTAGAGCTACGTTTATATCGGTATTTACCTAAATGAACCTTACCATAAAAATCTTAGAGCATCATCGTTATGTTCCGCCTTTGTAATATTATCATTATCAAAATAGAGAGTGCGACATTTTGCTGATATTCGACAGAATAATGGGTCAACGTCGACTCCGACTCTGTACTGCATAACATTACATGGATATAAAATGACTATGACTGGCAACTGGACTCTTTTACCTCCGACCCTCCTTTGCAAACAATGCTACCCTTCGTTATTATCACACATGCACACAAATTATCTCATTCTTATAATAATGTTTGGTTAATATGATGATCCAGTCCGTCGATTCGTATTAATTCCATAACGAGTCGATGTGGGTGGATGTCTTTGATGATGATGATGATAATAGCCACAAGAAGGTGGGGGTAATATCAATGATTACTGATGGCTGAAACTATGCACTTGGGCATATACACTCACACATACACATTAACACAGAACATATATACATGCCAACCTACCCGTTTATACATTATGGGATATGAGAAGAATTTTAATTACAATGATTGTGGTCGTTGCTGGTGGTGGTGATGGCCTCTGTCGTATTGTTGGTCACTTGGTCACTTACAGTAATGTGAGCCAAGAAAATCGCCTGATTTAATGCGACAAATGAACTCAATTAACCATGGTCAAATGTTAGCCGGTAGGCTGACTACAACAGCTACTGTTTTGTACATTGAGTATAAATATGGATGTGGCCCAAAACATGTAAGACAGTAGTTAACAAATTAACGCTTAACTTGTGTTTAAATCATCAGACAACAACATCATAATGTTTAAAATTGTAAGTTCAACGTGCCTATACTCGTTTTGATATGAAGAGTAATTAAGGGATACATGTTTCTGAAACAGTACTTAATTTGTTTTTCCTTGATTATTTACCTTTACTAGATTTCCATTTCCTTCTTCGCCCTAATGGCTTTGGTTTCTGCTAAACCAGCTGTAGTTGCTCCCTTGGCTTATACAGCTCCTGTTGCGGCTGCGGTTGTGGGTAGTGCTGCCTATGTTGCTCCTTACGCATCCAGCTACAATGCCCATAGCATTGCTCATTCAGCTGCCTTTCCTGCTGCCTATACTGCTCCTTATGTAGCTGCTGCTCCCTACATAGCTGTTGCCCCATACTATGCTGCCGCAGCTGCACCATATGTTGCCGCTCCCGCTCCACTTTTGTTGAAGTGAATCTATTCTGATAATGACGTGCTATTGACATAGAATATAGCCACAATGCTTTCAATGCTGTATAAAGAATATATTTTAACATGAACAACTCTGTTGTGAAGTATTAATTTCCTTTTGAAATACTTACAAATGAACAGGGACAAAATGACAACTTTGGTAAACCTCCAAATGGCAGTTCTTGTCTTGTACAGGTATATTACAGCGTGATAAACTGATTAAATACAACTCAAAAAAAATCTCATTAAAATGAAATTGAATAGGAGTTTAATTGATTTCGACATCATATTGACATTTATGTATTGAATATAATATTCTCATAATTTGGCCAGCTAACGCCTGACATTTTTTCATCAACATCTAATATTTATTTTCGCAAGTAAAATATTGTATTGTAAGAAATATTATTCAAATATAAAACTACCCAAACTCCCCAAAATACTGAATAATGGGGATATCGTAATATGGCGGCTATCATAAAATGTATATCGATTTCGATGATGTTTGGTATGAAAATTTGCTATCCAATGGGAATTTAAAATTCAAAATTATAGCGATTTTGATTTAAAAACGTGCACAAACTCCCCAATATACCGAATAATGAGGAGTATCGTTATATTTCCATTTTTGGTGGAGAGATTTCCTACCCAATGGAAATCCAAATTATAACCAGTAAGGAAAGTAATAAAGTCGGACTCGGCCGACATTTGCCATTCTGCAACCTATGCTATATTTCATTTCATTCGGGAAGAAAACGTCATTCTAGTCGAAATTTGATACGTCGTGTCAAATTTCGTCTCAATCGGATAAACATTAGCGTTTGGTGCACCATTAACGTAAAATCGGATGAAAATATATATAGGAGCTATATCAAAATCTGAACCGATTTCCACGAATTTCTTGCAAATCGAAAGATATATATATATAGGACTTTTGTGGATCATTTAAATTAAGTCAGAGGAAAAACCAGTAGGGAAAGTAGTAAAGTCGTATGATACCCTTTACCACTTTGGGTATATTCAACAGATGAATTCTAACAGACGTTGAAGGACCATTAACACGAAAATGGATCCATAAACATGTCATTCTGCAATCTATACTACATTTTTCATTTGGTCAGATATAGGGTTGCTTCTTACAATGGGGCAAAATTATGTAAATCAATTTAAAGAGAATACATATATATATATATATACCAATTTCAATGATTCTTGCCAGAGATTTACTTATATTAACTGCAGTTGTGTGGCAATCGGACAAACTTTGGGTCATTAGTGCAGAATTTACCTAAAATCGGAAGAAAAGATATGTAGGAGCTTAATCTAAACTTAACACACATCATCTAGACCTAAATCATTACGCTATGCCGTGCAAATCTAAAGATATATATTGACTTTGGTGCACCATTTACATTAAATCGGAAGAAAATATATATGGGAGCTATATCTAAATCAGAACCTATTTTCAGGAAACTTGACACACATCATTCTAGACCGATTCTCAGGAAACTTGACACACATCAGTCTAGACGTAATTCGTCAAGCTATGCCAAATTTCGTGCAAATCGAAAGATATATAGGGATATTAGTACACCATTTACATTAAATCGGACGAAAATATATATGGGAGCTATATCTAAATCTGGACCGATTTTCAGGAAACTTAACACACATCATTCTAGACCTAATTCAGTACGCTGTGCCAAATTTCGTGCAAATCGGAAGATATTAAAGGACTTTGATACACCATTTACATTTAACCGGACGAAAATATATATGGGAATTATATTTAAATCTGGACCGATTTTCAGGAAACTTGACACACATCAGTCTGGACATAATTTATTACGGTATGCCAAATTTCGTGCAAAGCGAAAGATATATAGGGACATTGGTACACCATTTACATTAAATCGGACGAAAATATATATGGGTGCTATATCTAAATCGGAACCGATTTTCTCCAATTTCAATAGGGTTCGTCCTTGGCCCGAATAAGTGGCATTTGCCAAATTTCATCCAAAACTGATCATAAGTGCGACCTGTACTTTGTTCACAAAAATACATGGACGGACGGACAGACGGACATGCATAAATAGACTCAGAAAGTGATTCTATACATATTCTCAAAAGGAATCATGTGTCTATCTCGTTTCCTGTTGCCTGTTACAAACATATGCACAAAGACATAATACCCTGTACTACAGTGTGGTGAAGGGTATAAATATATGAGAGCTATATTTAAATCTGAACCGATTTTTCGCAATTTCAATATGGTTTGTCCTTAGGCCAAATAAATGAGCTATGCCAAATATCATCCAATTTGGATTATAAATGGGTCCTGTACTTCGTTTAATATGAACGGAGGGACATGAATCAATCGACTTAGAAAGTTATTCTATGGATATTCTCAAAAGAAACCCTGTGTCTATCTCGTTTTCTTTTGCCTGTTACAAGCATTTGCACAAAGACATAATACCGCGTACCACTGTGTGATGAGGGTTACAGCCAATTTGGTTAAAAAACGTGCACCATTTACATAAAATCGGACGAAACTATACATAGGAGCTATATCTAAATAAGGACCGATTTTCTCGAAACTTGGCAGACATCGCTCTAGGCTCAATTTAGTACGTTATGCCAAATTTCGTGCAAATTGAAGGATATATAGGGACTTTGATGCACCATTTACATGAAATCGGACGAAACTATATATAGGAGCTATATCTAAATCAGGACCGATTTTCTCGAAACTTGGCAGACATCACTCTAGGCTCAATTCAGTACGTTATACCAAATTTCGTACAAATCGAAGGATATATAGGGACTTTGATGCTCCATTTACATGAAATCGGACGGAACTATATATGGTAGCTATATCTAAATCTGGACCGATTTTCTCGAAACTTGGCGGACATCATTCTAGACCTAAATGATTAGGCTGTACCAAATTTCGTGCAAATCGAAAGAGATATAGGGACCGTTTACATTAAATCGGTTAAATATATATATGGAGCTATATCTAAATCTTAACCGATTTTTCCCAATTTCAATAGGGTTCGTCCTTGGGCCGAATAAGTCACCTATGCCAAATTTAATCTAATTCGGATCATAAATGCGACCTTACTTTGACTTAGAAGGTGATTCTATGCATATTCTCAAAAGGAACCATGTGTCTATCTCGTTTCCTTTTGCCTGTTACAAACACATGCACAAAGACATATACCCTGTACCACAGTGTGGTGAAGGGTATAAAAATTAAATAAAATGACAAATGACCTAACATACCGGTACCATTATATGAGGGCTACCCGGAAACTTGGACCAGTACTGCTAATTTTTGGTTGGGATATTTTCTGCTCAACGATATTCCTAAATATTGGGGTACTGGCATATTTAATATCAATCATCTTATAAGTGGTAGGAATGATTGTACAAACAACACAACACATGGTCGGTCATTCGTCAAACCGTTTATGCAAAAACAATCATAAACATTTGTTGTAATGTAAATTATTCGCCGTCGTTTAGCCCTTGATCATAAATGTCAATATTGATGAAAATTCTGTCAACAGTATTAAATTTCGTTAAACAAAATTTATTAAAACTAATATATATATTATATTTTCCAATATAACAGTTACAGCTAATTACAAATAAAAATGAACAATTTATTTTCCACTTAAATAAAAATTAATAGTCATTTTAGTTGTTATTGTTGTTGGGTTTGGGGTTGTCTAACGTCTCACAAAATACGTGGCACCCACATACGGATATGTGGCATACGATGTGTAGTAGGGAGATGTGTATGCAGGATAATAACCAGATGATGCCAATACGGGGTGGGCAAAGGCTGCTGGGGCAGCAACAGCAGGAACGGGTGCCACAATTGGAGTGGCATAGCTAATGCCAGTTGTCAACAAATGTGGCTTAGCCGAGGCCAATGCCAACAAAGCAAACAAACAAATGGTCATCTGAAAGACAAATATTAAATAATTGTTTAGCGTTGTTGATTTGTGGTGGCGGAAGCTAATCCATAACTAATGGCACTATTCAACGTCAACATATGAAATAAAAAACTTACAAATTTAAACATGATTGAAAAGTTCTGCGTTCTGCTGCTTCGTTCTTCAAAGGGGTAATTGGTGTTGTTAGCTATCAGGGCCTACACTGTCGATTGTCAATTGACGGACATATGCCAATCATTTTTATAGCTACAAAAGTGCTGAGAATCCGCATTGTTTTGCCTCCTTCTTTCTCTATTCCATGTTCTCCTTTGTCAGTATTTTGTGTTTGTTTGTCTGTTTGTTTCTTTTTTGTTCTTTATATTTTTATGGCGGCTTAAAAGTGGGTTTTGCCAACCTTCAGCTTGTTTTCTGTTTTTGGTCGCCCATTAACAAAACATTCCCAAGACAAGGCTAGATTTTTGATTTCGTTGATCACACAATCATATTTATTATTAAACTACACCTATTATTCAAATTAATTGAAAACGTGGGAAATAATTTCGTATGTTCTTCTCCAAAAAAGTAGAAAATCGTTGACTGATAGATAAAAAAACAAAAACAAATTTTTGTTAGACAGTGTGTCAAGTAATTGTTTGTAGGCAAATCAAAAAACTGAAAATAAATGAAAACCCTCGAAAAGAGTTGACATTGTGGTGATGTAGAAGAGGAAGTTTTTCGATTAATCCATCCAACACAAATAGTGTTAAAGCTAGACATAAATATTATCATAATATTAGACATCATAATTATCATCCTTGAAAAAAAAACTTAGACCCATATTGATAGTTTTTGGCAGAACAATTTGACATCCCATAAGAACCCAAAATATCATAGTAGAGCCAATTCGGTTGGAAACACGAACGCAAGGTTCCAAAAATGCCGAATGATGGGGGTATAACGGTCTACACAGATCTTATTTTAGGGATTTTTAAAAGTCCAATAATCATGTTCGAACCTTTGTTTCTCAAAACATAAAATATCCTTACATGGCCATGGA